GGACAATAATGAATGTTACTACGAAAATTATATTGATTATCAAAATTGCTTAGCTGAAGTAAATATTTTAATTCTAATTTAATTTAAAATCTGAGTCATAAATGCAACAAAAACTTTAACTAAGTTATAAATAATTACAGAAATAAGATCACAGTCATATTCTTAATTACTATCGGAAACATTGTTAATTTTTATTACCTTTAATACATTTCACTATAAAAAAACACAGCAGTACAATTATATTATTATATTCCGCTAAAGATGCATTTGCTACACACAAAGATAGAATATGCTCATCATGAGACATAATGTGACCCAGGCAAAAATATATAGGTCTACCAAACAAAACATTAGGTTTTACTGCATTCAATTATGAACCCATTTTTCACTAGTTTAATACACATTTCATTTCATGCATATATATTCTCAGAGTGTGTATTTAATTTAATACACACTCTGAGAATAGTTATATTCATTTAAGAAAAATTTTATGGAAAAAGTCAGGCGCTGAATGGCATGAATGAGATAGTTCAATTAACCAAATTTATAATAATATGTTCTATCACTAAAACTGTCATGTCGCCATATTTGTTTACATCTTCATCGACATCATCACCAGCACTTTTACGTCCCCACTGCAGGAGCTCAGGCCCCTTCCTTATGGATGGTTAAGGAGGATGGGCCATGACCCTCCACGCTGACCCAATGCGGATTGGAGGGTATTAACGACTGCAAATGCAGCCGGGACCAACGGCTTAACGTACCTTCCGAAGCACGGAGTAGCTCGAGATAACATTTTTTTTTGGTCACCCATCCCGTGACCGACCCTTGCGAAAGTTGCTTAACGACTACGATCGCGGGCCGCGGCGCTTTTCCACTACGCCACCGAGCTACTACAATGTGACAATATAACAAGTTTATATCTTTGTCTTTATCCACGGACAGTGAATTATACGATGGCGTTGAACCGAACTATTGTAATATGTGATAGGTACTATAGTCTGTATATTTATAATATACTAGCTGACCCGACAGACTTCGTCCTGTCAAAAAGATTTGTAGTTGTGCAGTTTTTTTGCCTACGTATTTAAAAAAATTCTCCTGAACAGAACCGTCACCCTGGTGATAGGGCGTTGTGAATAAAAAATAATTAAATAAAACATATATAAGGATTTAAAAGTAAGTAATCGCTTTATTGTTAATCATGTGAATCATAATTATTATTGCAATGTATTAATAGTAATAGTATTAAATATAGAAAAAAGAGATTTTTATGATCATAAAAACACATTACACACAACAGCATTATAAAAGTAAACTATTCGAATTAAAAAAATATATAAACATTCTCAAGGAAAAATGCTGGAAGAATCCATCTACCTGTACCCCGGAATGGGACTCGAACCCATTCGCGATCCAGGGACTGCTCTAACCAATGAGCTATCTAGGACCCAACAGCTTTGCTACTACAGAGCGTATTTTCATCAATGTTCCGGCAATACATGTAATGACGTGGAAACTGATGCATTTTATCTCGCGTGCCGAAACTAATACAAAAGAAACGCGAGTTTCGGAACGCGACATTAAACTCCTCCAACTATGTATTCTGTGCTCCAACGCACACACGTACATTGTTTTGATAGATATGATCTTTGACGTTAGGAACACACCTACATTGCTTAGACAACAGTGAGTGCTTGTAATTTAATATGAACTTTATACCATAGCAATAAAGCTCAAATTGACTACGTTTTAGTTACAAATCATTTGTATGGGAAAAAGAAAAGGGCTATTTTTAGGGTTTTTCCAGCAATAATTCTAATTTTTCTCGCCGTAAAAACCATCCTTGAACTTCAACGAACATTTTAAAAAAAGATTTGGCCAAATTGGTCGAGGCGTTGTTGAGTTATGCGCTTACCAACACATTTTGCGATTCATTTTTATATATATAGATGGACGTATGATACTTCTTCCTAGATAATATAAAAGATTTTTCTGAAAAAAAAAACGTCTCTAGGATGCTCATGTAAAACAGCATTGGTTTCCGGTGGTGATAATTAAACAAGATATTATTGCTGTGTATATTATTATTACAATCCATCAAAATATGGTGGCAGCGCTAAAACCTACGTGAAATACGATATTATATTTGGTGCAGACAGTTTACAAGTTTGTAAAGAAAACAACAATAAAAAATGGCAACAGAGAATATACCGCCGAAGTACTCAAAGCTCCAGAACTATTTAAGTTATTTTCAGAAGACTGGACTAAATATATTTTACTAGTGATTTATACCAGTTTATCAGAAAATAAAGCCTTAGGTGACAATTATAAAATAGATTGCCTTTTATATTGTATGGGAGAAGAGACTGAAGACATATTACTACAATTAAAAAAAAAAACAAACAATGAATAATGATTTAATTTGTAAATTTTTTTTTCTCCAAAAAGTTACTTTTCTCGGGTGCGCTCATACACTCACTCTTGGGTTGAGAAAATTGATGTTTTGTGTAGAGAAAACATTTTTCGAGTTTGTCATGTTACGCGTGCAGTAATGATAGGTATTATCGAACCGTACCTTTACTTATATAATTCTCAAAGGGATTTTACCGGCTACGTAGATTGTATGGAACCATTTTTTAGTGAACGCCATAGCAAAGGATAAGAAAGTTCCATTATTCATAATAATCATTGGGACGAAATGTGTAAAGATTTTTTTTCGCCTGAAGGACTATGCCCGTATCCAGTGGCTTCCTGCAACCTTTATAAGATCGTCGGTCCACCTGGAGGGGAGCCTACTCATTCACCGTCTCCAGCACAGAACACAGAAAAGAAGTTAGAAAGGCGATCATGCATCCTTTGTACAAAAACCGATGTCGCCAATCTTGCCCCACTTTTCGTCCGCCATACATCAGACGAAATATTAGACCACTTATACAAAAGATATGCACACACTTGCATTTTAAACCTGCCAATCAGAACGTTCCAATATAACTATAACCAATTACAATCAACCATAACAGACATCTAGACTGCGTAAGAAACGTGTATGCCATATTAAATTGACAAATACACTTGCACACTACTTACACTAGTGATTGAAATAAAGTGATTTACTATCGACATTGAAAAACAATAAGGCAATTAATTGAAAGGATACTGGAGTAATTTCTTTATAAAATAATATAAACTATATTGTATTGATTAGATGTATTTTTTTTTTTCTATAGATATTAATACGATATTTAAAAAAAGCATTATTTTTTATGCTTGATAATTAGTCGATTGAATCAGTAAGAAATATTTAAATCACTTCCTAATAATGAACTAACATTGAATCGGTACCAGTCGTGCTTAAATATTTATTTGCATAAATGTTTGTTGGTTTGTTTATAAATAATAATATGAGGTATTTTTTTTACGTTACGTTACTCGATTTCATTTCAAGTTAACAGATTAGATTGGCAACATCGCTTAAATGAAACGAGTAATATTGACGAACGATATAATTAATGTTTACATAATAAAAAAAGTAGTACAGTTAGTACAATAAACGCTATTGGAACTTACCCCGAACGGATTCCGACGATTTAAAAAGTTTTGTTGATGATGGTTTAAAATAAAAAGTCGATTCTTGTTTTGCATTTAATAACCGCGCAAGCCATTTTTGGGCATTTTTGACACTTTATGTGGCGTGTTTCAAACTACTTACAGCACGCGCGTTCGTGAATGCCTAAACATCGCGATCGCGTGGTGAAGTCATGAACTTATGCATTTGTCCAGGATCGTGACTACACAGCCGCGCCCACAAGGCTATTCTAACGTCATTCTGTGTTCTGTGGTCCTCCGGTATGTGGTCGCTATTCGAGAACTCTTCCGCCCCAATGCCCATCAGTTCTTCTCGCTGTGTATCCCGCCCACTGCCACTTCAGCCGAGCAATTAATTCTTTGAGCAATGTCAGTAACGTTAGTTCTTCTACGGACCTCCTCATTCCTAATTCGATAACGTAGAGAAATACCAGGCATTGCTCTGTCCACTGCCCATTGGGTGACCTTGAGTCCTCTTATGAGATCCCCTTATGAACGACCACGTTTTACTTCCGTAAGTTATCACTGGCAATACACACTGATCGAAAACTTTGGTCTTGAGACATTATAGTAATCTGGACGCAAAGATTTTTCGTAGCTTTCCGAATGCTGCCCACCCGAGCTGAACTCGACGAGAGATTTCTTACTCGAAGTCGGCCTTGCTTAGCTGGATGTCTGTCCAAGGTACACATAATGGTCGACAACTTCAAGAGTAGTATTCCCAATTTTAACTGGAGTGGGTACAACATGGACGTTTGATATGATTTTCGTCTTATCCATGTTCATCTCAAGACCCACTTTTTGGGATGCACTACTGAGATCTTCAAGCATGATGTTCAGGTCTTCCATGGTCTCTGCCATTAGGACTACATCATCGGCAAAGCATAGGTGTGTAAGATATTCGCCATTAATATTCATGCCGTATCCTTTCCAATCCAGAAGTTGAAAATATCATCCAACACACCAGTGAATAGCTTTGGAGAGATAACGTCTCCCTGCCTTATGCCTCGCTGCAATTGGATAGGATTAGAGTTCTGGTTTTGTAATCGGACCGACATATTTATCATAGACAATTGGCATATTTAAAAAGTATGCTCAAAAACAATTTGGCAAGAAACATCATATTACACCTTACGATAGGATACGTGAGGACCTAGCAATTCTAATGCCAGGTGAGTTTGCAAACACAATTTGTGACGTTACACAAAGAGCACTATAAGTAGTAGGGGCCTTTGTGTGAGTATATGACAATAAATACACATAAACTTATTACAATGAAATATATATTTATTTTTATTATTAAAAATTAATAAGTACAAACATATTGTACGTTTCCGTAAGCAAACAGACTAAAGTTTAACTTTAGGTTTACATTCTTCTATCATGGTTCTAAACTATTAATAAAATATTGTGGCACATAACTTAATTACTAGAATATGTATTGCATAAAAATACATAGCTGGTGAAACCATGTAGTAGTTATACTACTTCCGGCTGAAAAACAATAGTCTCCATTACTAATGTATCAGATTGTTGCCAACAGCTCTCAGAGCAGGTGAATATGAGGACGGACAAGAAATGTAAGTGTGACAATTTAGTATGTGTTGGTAAGAGATGCAGAGCTTCAGTGAATCTCGGTACTAACTGAAGCTCGCAGATAAGTCGGCAACCACAACGAATGCAAGTTGTAGGCACCATTGGACATTCGGGTGTGTTTGCTGCACTTGGTAATGGAGCACCTAGGAGTGGTGGTTCCTCCCGAGAGTACCTGTATTTTTTTGAATAAAATTCAGAATAAACAACATTAATTATATTTTGGACAATTTTATAGTATAAGTGTTTCTACAGCCACTGACCTTAAGATTTGTTCTGGGTTGTTTCTTAAGCGAGTAAGGAAAGCGTGAAAGAGCCGATCTCCATGCAGTGGTGCCGATTCCTCATACTGTTCTTCTTCACCAATGCCCACTGCCGCTCGGTCGAAACCAACTACTACCTCCATTTCTAGATGTCAAAAGTATAAAAATTAAAAGTGGACCAAGACTTAGTATTCAAGAGTGGGGAAGCACAAAAAATATGAGGATGATTTTCCAAAGGATCAGAGGAGGAATTTCAATCAAGGGGGATGGTGAACCATGGAGGAGGTCTATGTCAGAGGACAACTTGACCAGCAACTGACAGCTGCTGATGCATAAATAAAAACCAGCAATTAAGTACATACCTATACTTTAAACTAAGCCAATGTGTTATAATAAAGGAAGATGGTCTTATTTACTTTTTTAAAATAGCTTACCATTTTCTTTATTGTACTTGTTAATTAATTCTGTCACTTTATCTTCATTATCGAGTGGCTCTTTCCATTCCTCTTCTACATATACATATTTGGGTAGAAATTGCAGTGGTCCACACATTAATCTGCTTCTTATATCTGGTGGAAGTTCTGCTGTCTGAATAAGGACAATAATAATATATTTTATAATAAATTGTTTTTAAAAACAGAACACACTTACAGTTATTAAAAAAAAAGTCTAATCCAAAGTGATGTAAATAATATTTTTCACCTGGTGCAATAATGCCTGAATATCTTTTGTTGGAGCAGAGGGGGTGTCAACAGTCACTAGACCAGGGTCATCACCACCTTCAAACTCTGCTGCAGGAACAGGAGCACTTATGGCACCAATTGCTCCTGCAAAAACATAGATCATATTAGAATTTGCTATCTCATCAAAAGCAATTTTGAAATAGTATATTGGTACCTTGTACAGGTGACATATTAGCATTATGTGCATCACAAACTTGCAGGTTTCCTAAGGCATGTTCTATAGTTTCCAATTCCAATGAGTGTGAGCTTTCTTCTTCTTCATCAGAATTTCTGAAATTAATTTGGTATTGTATTATTAAAAGTAATGATGACACAAAACTGTTCTTTTTTTTTTATAAATAATGCATACTTTTGTGGGCAATTATTTGGATCTGGGTTATCTACATTCATAATATTTCCATTGGCTGTGTCCCCATTGTCATTTTCATCCCATTCATCTGCTCCATTGCACCAAGTCAAATTGCTATCTGCCTTTGGCATTGCAACTATAGTGGTTTGAGAAGACGTGTCTTGAATTTGGCTGCGGACACATAACCAGCTGAAAAATTTTAAAGCTATTTATTATAAGCTATATTATAATATCAAGATTGATATTTAAGTCCTAATTGCAGTTATTATTTTAAGCAAAACAATATAATAGATCACAATTTTCTATTTTACCTGTCTGATTGTACCCAACAATTTGGGTTGATGCATGCAAAAACATATAAAGTGCGATGATAAATTGATTTTTCAATTGGTGCATAGCATTGTAGAACCAATAACCTGTGTAGCCCGCACAATGGGCATTTGGAAGAAAACTGTAAATTATCCAAAGGTGGCCAATCCTGTACAAAATATAGTTATTGTTAAGCAATGGCACAAGGTATATATCAAAAAATATTCATTAGGTAGCGATCGAAACACAATACTTACGGGTGTACCACCAATCTTATTAATAGTGTAATATAAAACAGTTTGATTTTTGTCACTAATGGGTTCATCTTCATATCCTAAATATACTCTGCTATGTCGTTTTGCCATTTTAGTATGTTTAGTTAACGGTAGGTAGGATAGGCTTTAACACAAATTATATATAGGCATTAATAAATCACAGTCATCATTAAGTAAAATTCTCTCGCTGAACCCCAAATTATATACTATTTTAATATTGTTCGCGCGTGAACGAACAGTCGGTTCGTGCTCGAGGAATCAACTCTAGTATATTACTCTTTGTCTAGTATCGATACACAGGGCAATTATTACTACTCTTTGCATCAGGGTAACGATTTTTTGGTACGATAGAGTCTGGCAAGCGAAACGTGTCACAAGAAAAGGGCGGCAATTTCAAAAATTCTTAAGCAGTAAACACTGAATGTAGTACTGCAAAATAATTTTGATACTTTTATTAATTATATTTAATCTTAACATTTAGATATCAATTAAAATTATTTGTTTTGGAACATTTGACTAAAGCGTGACTGTTCTTAATTGTACAGTTAACAGCATATCAGTAGGCCTATTCACTAACTCAACTGACAACCAAGAATCGTCATCACCGTAAAAAATAGACACTTTGATTGTGTCAAAATCACTATTTCGTATTCTCTATCAATGATGAGCAATTTCGAAATGTCAATATCGGCATTCTCCACTGGACTCCATTTTGACACTTGATTTCGTATCGATAAACTGTATTAAAGTAACATTGTTGCAAAGCATATTTGAAGTCGTCGCATAGTACCTCTTAAGCCATTTGTTGTTAAATTAAAGCGAAAAAAAATACGTATCCAATATTTTTCTATTATCTGACTGACGGACTAAATCGAATCTTTTTTTTAACCCATTCGTTATACCTATTGGCTAACAGCACTTATAATATTAAAAATTCATATTTGTCATTAATTAAAAGGGTGTTTTTTGCAACGACTTCTTTGTTTTTTTGTAATGAATATGGGCGACTCTGGCCACATTTTTTTAATAAATGTGATGTTAGCCAATTTTGATTTCTGGCCCTTATATTTATAATGTGTTCATAACACATACATGTCTCCTAAGGGATTTTCATCACAACCTTTTGCTCTGATCCAGAACCACTATCTATCAAATTAAATTAGTCAATATAAACACCAGATTACAATAAAAAAAACATTTATTTTTGTTACAATTAAGTGCCATGGATAAATTACATAATACAGGTGTCACAAAATCATCATGTTAATCACAATAGAAAATTTAAGATAAGATTTTGACTATGAATCAGACTAAAATACTTTAGTCTGATTCATAGTCAAAATCTGTTTCTAAATATTCTACACCTGATAACAATGACAAGGAATCATCAGAGTCACTCTCTTCACTACTGTCTGCACCAACAGATATAATAAATTTTTCAAGTTCGTTTTCAACAATGCCATCTTTTAATTTGTAATCATTTTCGACATTTAAAACATGATCAGTGTATTTCTTCCAGTCACTAGGGGTAATTAAGTTAAAACACTCTATTATTAAGTTTTCCATTTCCTTTCCTGGTATTCCAATGTTTCTGCTTGCAATTTTTCTTTTTGCTTGACTCCAAACCATCTCTATTGGGTTTAAGTCACAATGATACGGTGGCAGCAATAAAAGTTCATGATTATGTTCTTTTAAAATCTCTTCAGCTTCATATACAGGCAATGTTTTCTTATCATTAACCAAACACATTAACTCTGCCTTTGTCTGATATTCCTCAAAATGTATTCCATTATTTACAAGCCATTTACGGATATCTGCTTTGGTATTAGACATTATAGGCGGTTTATTGATTTGTTTTATATGGTAGCTGGCATTATCCATAACAATTACACTGGGCTTACTTAAATTTGGTATTCATTTTTCTCTGACCCATTTCATAAAGTTCGATGAGTTCATATCATCATGATAATCAGCAGATTTAGATTTACTACTGAACACTAATAATGCACCAGGCACAAAACCTTCCTCAGATCCAGCATGCACAACAATATGCCGTTTTCCAGAGGATATCTTTGTAGTGACACCAGTTGTTGAAGGTCCTTGCCAAGACTTTTTAACTTTATAATTCTGATGTACATAAGTTTCATCAAGGTACACAATTTGCTTTCCTTCGTTTCGTTTTATATTTATTTCTCTCAAATACTTGTGCCTCCATGCAGAAATCTGGTATTTTTCTATAAGCATAGAACGTTCATTTTCATTGCTTTTAAAAGAAAATCCATTCTTAAGCATAATTTTTCGTAAAGTCTCACGGCTACCACTGAATCCTATTGCATCTTTTAATTCATTGTGAAGGCTTCTTAATGTTGGAACAATTTTTTTCACACAGTAAAATTCATTTACTTTATTCCGAATTGCACTTAAATCAAAATTATCTAAAGCAGACACTGTTGGTTGATGAGGTCGTTTTTTCCCAGGAGTGTCCCATTTTCCTTTATTAATTAATGCTTCATTTTTTATCCTTCTTAGTGTCCTTATACTTACATCTATAAAAGATTAAACACTTTGAAACAAAGATATGTTAAATGTATTTAAAAGCAAATAATGATAGACACATACATCAAAATAATTTAAATACCTATTCAACTATGAATGCAATTTATGTTTAATTTAGTTAAGTTTATGTGCATATTTAGCATGTATAACAATTACATGGTTTGATTAGTTTCATGAATTCTGTGAATTTCCTTGTTAAACAAAACATTCTTATGACATCATTGGATGTCAACAATAAAAACCAATACATCATAAAAAACCTATGTAAATATTATAGGAATACTATCAATCTATCTTAAATCAAAACAAGAAAAGAGACCTGTCATTGAAGAAATTTTTTGTAAGTACTGCGTTTCCGAATTCAGCATTTCTTGTTTTTCTAAAGTTTTTATTGCATTTATCTCCTCCATTATTGGTTGAATATCACCATCACAGTTATCTGAAATAGAGCAATATTTTATAAAAAATATCTGTTTAGTTAATTACAGAAAATTAAAACGAAAGTATCAAAATTATAATACAAAACTAACCTAAAAAAGATACAACTTTATCTAATCGTTGTAATTTCTCCATGAAATTTTTATTTAATTCAGTTTTCACTTCAGTAAACTTGTCAATCATGATGGAAAGAAGTTTCCTCGATGAACTTTTTATCGGCTTCGACATAATTTTTAACCAAAAACACAAGTTCAAATTCGCAAAAACAACAAAATTCAATATTCTTGAATTGTCTAACGTAGTGTCAAACTGACAGTTCTATGTTGTTGCCATATGAAAACGGAAAAATAGGTGGTGTCACGTTTCGCTTGCCAAACTCTAGCAAGTACTTTTGGGATAGATACTTTTGTTTCAACACTTATTACGTTTCGATATTCTCGTTCTCTCTTACCATTTCTAATACATTATTGATTCAAAAAAGAAAAAATATTTTAAATAAAATGTTCACACAAACACAATAATAGTAGGGATGATGGATATTAATCAATGTTTAATTAACATCGATATTCAGCTGAAAACCATCAATGTTTTTTAACTTTGATAAGAACGATGTTTGATAATATATAAATATCGGAACATTACTCAATATACTATTTGAGGTAATTGTAGGTGAATTGATCGTCGTAGTTAGATATAACATTAGTTATCACCGACACCAGAGTAAGCTGTTTTTCTAATTTAAAAACATAACAAAATAGAATGATCTCTAAAAATATACTGTTTTATTATAAAAAGATACAAATGTCATATTTTTTGAACTAGAGCTGATATAGAAACTTTAAGTCACATATTTGAAATTATCTTTTTAGATTGGCCTTAGAACCCATCATCAGAAATGCTGTTGTGCGGTGATTGTTTTTCATTTGAGAAGGCGATTTTATTGTTGTGTAACCGTCGTAGAAAAACAAAAACATACTATGATAAATAAACATACTGGTTTATTATAAAAGTTAGCAAAAGAAAATATTACATTTTGGTTGTTTTATAAATGTATAAATGAGTACTTTATACCTCTAGGTATCGATACTTTTGATACGATACTGGCATCGAGTAAATTATTGCTATTTTTGAAGGCCAAGAAGAAATTTTGTGGTTGGCTTTTCCCTGCGAAAGGTAAAAACGGACCCCAGAAATGATCACTTTGTTGTAAATCTGTTCGTCTGTCAAGTCCAAGTCCAAAATTCTGACCTATACCGTAATCTATTGATATACCAAATACGTGTATAATATTTAATAAAATACAATAATAGGGGTAAAAATATGAATATTATATATTTGTACTGAAAATCAAAATTATTTATTTATTAATTTTTTTAAAATTTATTTAATCAAAATAGTTACTATTATTATCATTGCTGCCAGATGGCAGATAACAGGAAGGTCATTTATACCTTTGTGATAGAACTCTGAGAATCTAGACTGCAAAAACTGTGTGAAAGCATTTTGTACTGCCTCCTGGGAAGAAAACTTCTTATCACGTAGATAAATGTCCAAATCAGGAAAAAATGGTAGTCCGTTGGAGCAAAGTCTGGCGGATACAGAGGATGACGAATGGTTTCTAACTGCAGTTCCTGAAGTGTCCAAACGGTTTCTCGAGCTGTATGGGGTCTCGCGTTGTTATGTAGAGCAATAATGGTGAAGATCGATTCATGATTCGGGGCTGTTTTATTGCAAGTTTTGCCAACATTGTTCGGAGTTCGGCACAATAGACATCTGCCGTTATTACATAACCGGATCAGAGAAAACTAATGAATAACACCATGCTGAGACCACCAAAAAGTTACCATTACCTTTTATAAGTTTATTTGTAAGTTTTAGTTTACTTCAGGATACTGTTGTGGCGTTTGGCTTCCATCATCTCTCTTAATTCACCTGTTTGGGCGGTCTTCCTCGTGGATCGTTCTTAAAGTCGAAGTTTCCATCACGAAAGCGTTTAAACCAAAATAGCACGGTGCGTTCAGACTCTCCAAACGCAACATTGATATTACGGGCTGTTTCTGCAACGTTACTTCCGCGTCGGAACTCGTATTAAAAAAATCACTCGAATTTTCGCATTATCCATCTTTCCTGCCTTAGTTGAATAATAAAAACAATGAGGAAGTATTTAAAAAACACATTAGTTCCCGAAATCAAACTACATGTCGCTACAGTTCGTTCTTGATTTCTCTATGACAACCTTTCCGGTTTTCTTTCAAGTT